TAAAACGAAGGTTTGTGCGAAGTTTGTTCCACACACATTAAGAAGCGATCAAAAATCAGCGAGAATCAATTATTCCAGAGACATCGTTGCAGCCGCAGAAAATAATCCAAACTTCCTAAAATCAAGTGTTACGGGTGATGAAACATGATGCTTTCAATATGATCCAGAAACTAAGCGTCAAAGTGCGGAATGGAAGTCAAAAAATTCACCATAAGCAAAAAAAGTACGAAAAGTTCCATCAAAAATCAAGACAATGCTTTGATAGCAAAGGTATTATCCACAAAGAGTTTGTTCCAACTGGCCAAACAATTACTGGTGCATATTATCTCGAAGTTTTAAAGCGATTGATGGGCAGAATTCATCGTATTCGTCCCGAATATCGTGAATACCTATGATCTATCCAGAAGATTGGTCTTTGTTGCATGATAATGCACTGAGTCACACTTCATTGATTGTCCGTCAATGTTTGGCTCGAAATCGTGTCTCTATGTTAAACTATCTACCGTATTCACCTGATTTGGCCCCCTACGACTTCTCATTATTCCCAAAATTGAAATTGAAATTGAAAGAACGCTTTTTTGATGACATTCCGACCATCCAATCAGCTTCTACACAGGCACTAGAGGCAATTCCGCAAACTGAGCTAGAACATGCATTTGAATCACTATTGAATCGCTGTAACAAGTGTATTGAAGCCAGAGGAGAATATTTTGAATAATAAAACCAAAAAATATGCATATTGTTGTTTCAATTATGATTTTCAGGCCCTGTCCGGGAACATATTTGTCGCACTGTGTATAAGGACAAATACATGTGTTTAAGTGAGATAAAATATAAGAAATGAATAAAAAATATCATTATTATCGATTTTTTTTATTTAGAAAATTTAAAAAATCTGTACTATCCATATCGATCAAGTTCGGCCATCACTCCAGCATCCCCTTAACTCTTTGTGATAATTTAATCCTTGAGTTGAGTAAAATAACGCAATTTTGTAATTTAGTTAAATATCGTTGCGAGAATATCGCTGCATAGGTCGCTGATGAAGGCGAGAAAAGCTTGCCTCTAACGAATTCGTTATTTTATTCTGGAGCTCCTTTTGGAACGTCTGTACAGCGACAATTGTACGATTCCCCGACTTCTCAATTCTTGTCGGTCGCTCGTATTTTTCTCGAATTTTTCGTGAAATGTTATTATTGTTCGTCTTTGTTATCTACAGTTATTGAAAACGGTTTTGTTTAAATTCACGGAGTATAAGTTATAAATACTTCAATTTTCCAATCGTTATAGCCTAAATTATAAAAGCTAAAATTACAAGGCGTTTTTAGCATATTGCATGCGCTGACGATATACAGCAGAGATAGTTTTTGTAACCAACAAAAAATTAAAGGATTTAAAATAGCTTCTATCTAAATCTCATCTCATTGTCGCGTGCCTATATATGTATGTGTTATGTATCTGAGCTCCACTAATTCCTTTGCTCGTGTGGCTATTTATAATTCTGTCGAAATTCTTTACATTCAGCCGAATTCATGATTCCAACAACGCGATCGTCACAGTGAATATTTTAAAGAAAATTAAATAATTACTAATATACTTGGGCTCGAATAAACAAAATTTCGAATAAACATACTCGAGTTTTATTTTTAAAAAATTAAAGAGTTACTAATCTCTCTGTTTCTTTCTCTCTCTTTATTGGAATTTATTTTTTTAAAGTAGTTTTATGTAATTAGTGCAATTTAAATGCTTTATATCATTTTTTGAAGTACATATGTATTTTTTTAGAATTCAATGGTCCAATTCTTGGTGTCAGTTATTATCAAATCAGATATCAAAATTTTTTATACAAATATATGTCATTTGATTTTTTAAATTTGATGTTATAGTTTTTTATTCGAGCAACGTACCCATTTGCCGCCTTTTTTTTCTTTAAAACATACATATCACTTTTTACATAATTTTTTTAATTTGGTACAACGATTTTTTGTTTGCGCAGCGTAACTATGTATAAGTAATACGTTATATATTTTTTACTATTCCAACCCAAGTAAAAGTAGTTTTGATTCTTCTTCCCTTTACGTACGTTAGGCCTCTGGCCTGTTACACCTTTCTCATATGTTTGTAGTGCGCACGCTGATTATTCAATTGCCACAAGCATATGGAACCTACAGTATTACTTTTAATACCGGTTCCGAACGGTGAATTTTTCTGTGTTTCTATGGGCAACGATACTTTCGGGAGGTTGCTGGCCTTTTCCAAGAGGAAACATGAGCGTAAATATTTTAGTTCCGACTAAGATCGGACCTCTTGAATGATAGACCAGTGTGCTGTTTACATATCACGCTTGCGCTCAAAGTTTTGATTATTCTACAAAAATATTTTCATCGAAGGTCTTTCTATTCCAATTCAAGTAATAGCAGCTTTTGTTCTCTCAAAAAACCCTCCTTATTGCTCCTCGAAAAATAGAGATGATCGTTATCTTGATATTTTTCCTGACATTTTTATTTCTTTCGATTGAGTCGTCCACAGAGGGGGGAAGGAGGAGCGGGAGTCGCTTCAGGTGAAAGTCGCGCGCTCCTCATCTCATCCCTCCATATTTGAGGGCGCGCGACTTTCACTTGAAGCGACTCCCAACCCACCTTCTTTCTTCTCTGCTTGGGGGTGCATGACTTTTATCTGAAGCGACTTCCACTCTACCTCCTCCCTCCTGCTTGAGGGCGCACGACTTTCACTTCCCTCTGTCAAGGGAAAATACTGCTGAAGTATGTACTCTATGTTAGAAATTGTGCGCTTTCATAAAAATTGTTTTGTTCGTAACTTTTTAATGAATATCGAGCGACGGAAAAAAGTCAATAACCTTGATCTTCTTTAGGAGGGAGTCCTAGATGCGCACAAAAATAATCGGACACAACAGATTGTCCAAATCGGACACAGTCCCAATCGAAAACAGATAGAAGGGAACATATGACAGCTTCCATCGGACACAAGTTGAAATGGACATACGACGGTTTCAATTGGACACAAGTTGAAACGGATACACGATAACTATTAAGTTTCCTTCTATCTGTGTCCGATTGGATCCATCGTGTATCTGTTTAATCCGTATTTGATTGGAACTGTGTCCGATTATTTTTGTGCGCATTTAGGACTCTTCCCCTTTAGGATCAAGGTCAAGACCACTGGTCATTTAGAGCTGTTTGTGTTTTCAAGGGAAAATTTTACAATATTTTAATTTAAATCTTCCTATTTTAATTCAAATAATAGTAGCCTTAATATTCTCAAAAATTATTACTCCTTGAAAAAACTATTGTACTCATTTGTACTAAATTAAAACCTAAATGTAGATGGGTGCATGGGTAGGTACGCGCGCGCTACTGTCTTTATCAAGTTAAATTCTATTAAATTAAAAGTAATAAAATCCAAATGATAATATCTTTATTATTTACTTAACTCTTGTAATATCTATCATTTCTTTAAAATATTTGATATCAACAACTAGCGTCAAGTTAAACTCTATGAGTAAATAAAATAAATAAAGAATATAATTCAAGTGAGACTAATCTTTAATTTGTATACAATGATACCTAAGTATACATATTTGTACTCTTATTGAAGGATTTTCCAATGCATGGATTTAATTCCTTAATTCTTTTTAAAAGAAATTATATCACACTTCATTTAAAGACATTTTTTTCTAATCAAAATAGTACTACATGGGCTGAAAAGTCCTGGGATTTTTAATGAAAATAAGCGTTTTTTGGGCAAAGTTATATTTATTCCTCAACATAGTTGCCTTCGAGGGCGATACACTTGGTGTATAGCGATTTTCCAACATTTCGATGCCCTTTCCGAAACGTCCAAGCCTTCAAAATACGCCTCGGTTTCCGCGATGACTTCCTCATTCGATGTGAATCTCTTTCCTTGGAGCCACCGCTTGAGGTTTGGGAAAC